ATCTACTAAGATTGGAAGCAGAGGACTAGCTCCAGAATTCACGCTCCTAACCCTATTACAACAGCAGCTCCCAAACAGAGAAGGGAAAGGAAGTTCTGGCATTTGTGCTCTCCTTGATCTTGGGCTGTCTGGTCTGGACATGGACCAAGGCTCGAGGGCCTTGCACACGTAAGTGAGTGCAGAGGCCCGCCCAGACCCAGGGCCCCTTGTCCTTAAGCTGGAGTCATACTGAGGCTGAGGCTAGCCTCCCTGGCTTGACTTGAGGCTACCTCCAGACCCACACCCTGAAAGCCTGGGACCGGCCTTCTCGGAGAACTGGGCAAGACACTCTGACGCCAACTGCACCCACCACGAGGAGGTACATTCTCTGCAAGGGCAAGCCTGGGGCTGCACCCAATAGACTAGGAGATACTCATTAAGAGAGAATGTTCTGGCACTCTGGCCCTGCCAAAGGCTACCAGAGCAGAGAAGGCCCTCTCCTCCAAGGGGCTGAAGGAGGAGCAGGCACACACCACACCCCTCACTCACCACATGCACCCCCACACCACATAGCACACCTGCGAGCACCCCATACCACATTTATCCCTCATCTCACACACACACACACACACCCCCTCTTACATCACACACACAGAGACACCACATACACCCCACCACACACATACAAACACACACCATGCACACTGTGCACAGGCATATACCACACACATATACTTCACACATGCACACACACCACACACATAGTATAACATACACACTCACACACCATATACCACGCACATATATTTCACACATGCACACATGCCACACACCATGCACACATGGAACAACATTCACAAACACTCACACACCATATACCACACACATATACTTCACACATACACACACCACACACACGGTACAACATACACACTCACCATATACCACACACATATACTTCACACATACACACACCACACACACGGTACAACATACACACTCACCATATACCACACACATATACTTCACACATACACACCCCCCACACACGGTACAACATACACACTCACACACCATATACTACACACATACACACACCTCCACACACACACCACACACCATGCACGCACATGTTAAACCATACGCCACACACTATGCACACACCGTGTACCACACACATACCCCCCAACATCACATGCTCACTGCACACCCTCCCCCATACCACACACATACACCCACACACACCCACACACACACCACACACCCACCCCCCACCACGTGCTGTTACTTAACAGGTTTGCCTTCCCACAACTCTCCTTTATCAGCAAGCCGTTCTGGAGGTGCGGCCCACACCTGCATTCCAAAGACCACAAATCCTTCCCTACCTCCCGCAGTGAGTCACAGAAACTGCGACCAGCAGGCAGGGGTGGGCCCCACCGCTCTCACAGGAAGGGAGAAAGAGTAAATATGTAATTTTTCTTTGAGGGCCAATGCACATGTTAAAGGGATGATTAAGAAGACAGCGCGCTGCCTAAGAGGTCAGGAGAGAAGTACAACGTGGGGACTTGGCAGTAGCCAGCAGAGACGGCAGGATTCCTATAGAGTCTTTCACCGACAGGGCTCTGAAATTCCAGAGCCTGCGGGAGGCGCCTTCCCCTTTGACTCAGCGGGGCTGTGCCGCCAAGAATGCACTGAGCCTTGGATGTGCTTGGGACACCTGAGCTGTGGGGCCAGAGAGGCAGCCCCAGGGGAGAATTCCAGAGTTGGGGCTGGGTTCTTTTAGCTTAAAAAATCCAAGTGTCGCTTCTTTCATGAACCTCACAGCAAGGTCTTCCCTGAGGCTTCCCCTTAGACAAGTGTTCCTTTATGCACCTTCAGGACACCAGCAAGGGCAGGGGTCTGAGAAGCCATGGAGCCACTGGCATTATAGTGACAGTTCGGCCACCATTCAGCGGGGCTTCTGATGATCGTCTGCTGGGGGCAACGACTCCAAATCACCAGCTCTACTCGATACTCGAACCAGTAGGCAGTTTAGACAGTCTTGGGTGATTTGGACAAATGAAAGTTCCGCTTAGAACCTCTCCGGAAAGACAAAGCAGCTGCCTAACAAACGATTCCAGGACTGTAGGAAACCATGACCATCAACGGCTCAGTTGTATACAGTGTTAGCCAAAAAGCATCGGAGACAGGTCTCAGTCAGCTGAGAAGTTTATTTTGCTAAGGTTAAGGACATCCTGGGAGGAAGAAACACGGAATCACAGAAACCGTCTGTGTTCTATGCCTTTCTCCAAAGATGATGTTGAGGGCTGCAGTGTTTAAAGGGGAAAGTGGGCTGGAGGGGAAAGAGGAAGGGCATGGGAATCTACTTGTTGCAAGGGAAAAGGAGCAGGCAGAGAACAATCAGTTCGTTTCCTCCAGCACTCTGTAAATTGGTGCTTTACATACAGCCAACAGAGAGTAACTGCCTGTGGGGATATTTAACCTTTTATCTGTAGCTATCAGCTTAGGAACAAACAGAAAGGCAGCTTCTTGCCTGACTCAGCTCCTAGCTTAATTTTTTTCCTGTTGCCATCGTGAATTAGGGTCCTGAGAGTTTTTCATTTCCTTTACAACAGGAAGAAACCAACTACAGAGCCCCTAGGTACACTAGGGCCACCTGGAGTCTTGTTAAAACGTGCATTTGGGGGAGGATCAGAGAGTCTGCGTCCCCCACAAAGTGCCCGGACTGCTGCTCTGTGGGTCACACTTTGAATACTGAGAGAACCAGAGAGGACTTGGTGGTGGGGGCTTGGTCAGTGGGTTCTGGTACAGTTGGAGGGAGGAGGCTTCCTGGGGTGAGGGCGTTGAGATGGAGTGTTGCATGGAGAGGAAAATAAAGATACCCCAGATCTGGCCTGGCATGGTGGCTCACACCTGTAATCCCAGCATTTTGGGAGGCCGAGGTGGGCAGATCACCTGAGGTCAGGAGTTCGAGATCAGTCTGGCCAACACGGTGGAACCCCGTCTCTACTAAAAGTACAAAAAATTAGCTGGGCATGGTGGTGTGTGTCTGTAATCCAAGCTACTTGGGAGGCTGAGGCAGGAGAATCAAGTGAACCCAGGAGATGGAGGTTGCAGTGAGCCAAGATTGCGCCATTGCACTCCTGCTTGGGTGACAGTGCAAGACTCCATCTCAAAAAAAGAAAAAAAAAAAAGATACCTCCGATCAACCTTGTAGGGCAACAAGTGACCTGACGAACCCCCATCATGTATGGCCACTGTTCCCCTTTCAAGGCCAGGGATTCTTGGAGGAGCTGGAATGTTAAGGGCTTGAAAAGTGGATTCCGCCTCACTGGGAGACTAGGCAGGTTCACTAACATTTAGTCTTCTCTGAAACATGGGCATAGCATAGCCACACCAGTCCTACAGGAGCAGTGCGAGGATTAAATGAGATGACATAGAAGGTGCTTAGTGTAGGCCTGGGGCAGCATAAGCAGTAGAATATTTGCTGATATTGTTGTTGTCGTTATTATTATTAGAAGAAGCAAACGCTTTTTATTTTTTTATTTTATATTTTTTGAGACGGAGTTTCACTCTTACTGCCCAAGCTGTAGTGCAGTGGCATGCTGTTGGCTCACTGCAATGTTCACTTCCCAGGTTCAAGTGATTCTCCTGCCTCAGCCTCCCAAGTAGCTGGGATTACAGGCACGCACCTCCATGCCCCACTAATTTTTTGTATTTAGTAGAGACAGGGTTTCACCATGTAGGTCAGGCTGGTCTTGAACTCCTGACCTCAGGTCATCCACCCGCCTCAGCCTCCCAAAGTGGGATTACAGGTGTGAGCCACTGCACCCAGCCTTCCTTTTTACTTCTGAGCCCTGGGCCAACATACTCAGAACAGAAGGCTCCTGGTGGCTGGAGAGGCTGTCTTCTCCCTCTTCATGGCTTTAAGAAGGCAGGGCAGTGGTGACACTCAGAGGGACAGGAGAATTGGACGTGCCTTGACTGGAGGGCAGCAAGGCCTCATTCCCTGGGGCCTAGGAAGAATTTGATTGCCCTGGGCATACACAGGGGAGAGGATTCAGAGTATTCAAGACAAATTTATTGGGTGGAAAAAGTTACTCAAAATATTTGAAACAAGCCTTGTCTTTACACTGAAACGTCACCGTCTGGCAGCTCTCTATTTTAGCCAAAGGACATCAGGACATGGTCTAACCTGAGGTAAGACCAGGTTCAGTATAGGAGCTTCCTAGTGTTAGGTGTTCTAATGCCTGTGTCCCACCCCAGCCCTCCATGAGAGCCAGGAGCTGTGCTGAATAGAGTCACTGAGCACTTGCAGAATAGGGTGTAATATTTTCCAAATATTCCCTTTACAAGATAAACCAGCCAGGAGGTAGGAGGTATCAGGCTGCGCCGAGCACCGGCTGGGCCAGACCTCTGGAAGAGCAACTGGGAATGTTGATTACAGGGCAAGAATCTAAACAGCAGTGATTTATTTTCCAAAGTTGCTGGCACTTTTTAATCCCCTTTTTTTCCCCTCATCCTCTTCCCTTTAACAGGGCAGAGCAAACCAGTCTTCAGGCCAATTCAATGCTTTGTGGAATTTTTTTTTTTTTTTTTTTTTTTTGAGACAGGGTTTTGCTCTGTTGCCCAAGCTGGAGTGCAGTGGCAGGATCTCGACTCACTGCAACCTCTGCCTCCCGGGTTCAAGCAATTTTCCTGCTTCAGCCTCCTGAGTAGCTAGGATTACAGGTGCCCACTATCATGCATTTTTGCATTTGTAGTAGAGATTGGGTTTTACCATGTCAGTCAGGCTGGTCTCGAACTCCTGACCTCAGAGGATCCTTCCACCTTGGCCTCCCAAAATGCTGAGATTGCAGGTGTGAACCTCCGCACCCCACCTAAAACCATGTTAGTTTTTATTAGAATATAAGTGCTGCTCTCTTCCTCTGTCTGCTCTTTTCAGTATTTAGCCAGCATGCAGAGATGCTTCTCAGTTGAGAGGTGAAGAAACAGGCTGCACTGGGTGTGCTGGCTCCCACCTGGAATCCCAGCACTTTGGGAGGCCAAGGCTGGAGGATCGCTTGAGCCCAAGAGTTCAAGATCAGCCTGGGCAACATAGTGAGAACCCGTCTCTACAAAAAATAAAAATTACCTGGGTGTGGTGGTGCACACCTGTAGTCTCAGCTACTTGGAGTGGGGAGGTGAGAGGGTGGCTTGAGCCTGGGAGGTTGGGGCTGCAGTGAGCAGAGATCACACCGCTGCATTCCAGCCGGGGAAACACAGGAAGACTCTGTTTCAAAAACAAAACAAAACAAAACACAAGGCCACCCTTCCTCATGATGCCACAGGTCCCCTCCCCTTCTCTCAGCATGGCTGGAGAGCCCCTGCCTCAGCCTCCTGCCTGAGGTTTAGTTACAAATGTCGCAGAAAGGACACCAGGCCCATGCAGATGGCAACCCTGGGAGACACCAGTCCTTCTGTCCTCACATTAACAGATGGAGGCCTCTGCTCGTGAGCCTTCATAGGGGCCAAGGCACCTTTGGGAGCCTGAGCTGATGGAGACTGGCCTTGGCTTTTAGCCTACAGAGTCTGGGACACTGGTGATGTGGGTGCCCCAGGCGTTGTGGGCACTAGCACGCTTTCTGAACGTGGGCTGAGTAATGCGACAGGTCAATTAAACGTGTGGCTTTTGGGATGTGCCTTGGGATTTCTGAGGACCCTGCTGGCCTCTGCATGTACACTCCCAGCCTCGGCACTATTGGCCTGCTTCTTCTCCAGGCACTTTCTGTGCTTCTTTGCAAACCATATGTTTCTCAGGAACATCTTCGTGGTTTATTGATGCCGTGTCTGTGTCATTTTGAGAACTGGTTGTGTGTGATGTCATTCTTGGACTTCTCCATGTTTGCACTCTAGTCGGCCAGTGATGTTAACCTTGAGGGCTCGATTGAGGTGGTATCTGTCAGGTTTTCCCACCGTCAGTTACATATTTTCTCTTTGTTTTTAATAAGGATTTCTTTGAGACTGTATAGCTATCCTATTCATCAAACTTTCAGTCACTAGTTTTAGCATCCTTTGAAGCTTCTTCCTTAAGTTAATTACTACTATGATGGTTAACAAAAGCTGATTTTCTAATTCTGTCATTTATCCACACTTACTCATTGCACGCTACTGTAACAGTGAGCTTTCCCTTTCAATAGCTATCTATCTATCTATCATCTCAGTGTGGACTTGTGGATTCCTATTTTATTTGATGGGTTTATTGTCTCTTAGTACCATTATATATCTCGATGCTTTAATTGTTCCACACTTGGCTAGTGAGAGCACATTCAAGTTGGCTTCTGTGCTCTTTTGACTTATCTCCATTATACTTTGAGTGCTTCCTGACTTTCTAGCCAAACAAGATGTTCCAGGCGCATCCTGTACTTTCTTTGACTCAGCTGTGGACCCAGGAAGCCCTCCCCTTTTAATGGAGAATGATGTTTAGAAACCAAGATTTTGAGGCCGGGCGCGGTGGCTCAAGCCTGTAATCCCAGCACTTTGGGAGGCCGAGGCGGGTGGATCACGAGGTCAAGAGATCGAGACCATCCTGGTCAACATGGTGAAACCCCGTCTCTACTAAAAATACAAAAAGTTAGCTGGGCATGGTGGCGCGTGCCTGTAATCCCAGCTACTCAGGAGGCTGAGGCAGGAGAATTGCCTGAACCCAGGAGGCGGAGGTTGCGGTGAGCCGAGATCGCGCCATTGCACTCCAGCCTGGGTAACATGAGTGAAACTCCGCCTCAAAAAAAAAAAAAAAAAAAAGAAACCAAGATTTTGGTGATAGGTGTGCTTGCTGCTATTGGGATCTCACTGCTTTAGTATCTTTTAATAGTCAGAACTAGAAAATATATGCACACACACAAACACACAGACACAGACACACAGATACTGCAAACCTACAGTAGATATTGATACCTCCAATTCCAATGCAATGCCACATAGTTCATTCTAGCTTCTCCCCTCTCCAAACTTGTAACTCCCCCTTTCAACAGTGAGAAACCCAACTCTCATTATCCCCAATATATTTATTTATTTGCTTAATCTCTCTGTATGAAACTAATCTCCTGACTTTGCCAGGCCACTGCCCTGCTTAGCACACCCTCTTTTTGTGGGCCACTGATCTCAAGGGCTTTGGGACTGAATTATTAAGGAAAGAAGACAGGAAAGCCTTGCTTTACTTTTAGAATGGGTATATTATAGATTGTAAAGACCTTATATATGTGGGTCAGCAACACCAGCAACATGGATCGGCTTAAGAAGGTGACTTGGCTGGGTGCGGTGGCTCACATCTGTAACCCCAGTGCTTTGGGAGGCTGAGGCAGATGGATTACGAGGTCAAGAGATCGAGACCATCGTGGCCAACATGGTGAAACACCGTCTCTACTAAAAATACAAAAATTAGCTGGATGTGATGGTGTGCACCTGCAGTCCCAGCTACTCAGGAGGCTGAGGCAGGAGAATCACTTGAACCTGGGATGCGGAGGTTGCAGTGAGCTAAGATCGTGCCACTGCACTCCAGCCTGGTGACAGAGTGAGACTCCATCTCAAAAAAAAAAAAAGATGGCTTCAGAAGTGCTGATTTTACGTCTTTCATTTTTCACTCATAGTCTGTGACACACTTTATGTATAAAGACTAAGTAGGGCTTCTGGGTATCCTGAAGTCCCTAGGTTACTGAGACTATCGGGTATTACTATTTTGGATATTGCATTTAAAGATAAGTTTGCTATATTTTATGCATGTTTAGGTGTTTTCTTAGTGAATGTGTTTTCAAATTATTGTCCTCTTGAAAAAAAAGTATGTGTGTATTTATATATATGTATATATATTATTATACACATATGTATATATACATATATGTATACATATACACATACACACGTATACATATATATATAGAGAGAGAGAGAGAGAAAGAGAGAGAGAGCACGAGCAAGAGAGGAGGGTGAGAGACAAGATCTCACTATGTTGCCCAGGCTTGTTTCAAACTTCTCAAGTGATCCTCCCATCTCAGCCTCCTAAAGTGCCAGGATTACAGGCATGAGCCACCAAACCTGGCCAGATTGTTCTCCCTATTACCAGAAATTTTCATCCTGAACACGAGTTTGAAAATACCTTAGTTGAGTAATTCCCCTGAAGGGTCTGCCTGTACTTCTACCGGCAAGTAAACCATTATGTGGCCAGGTCTAGAAGGAAGGCCACTGGCTCCCCACTGGAAACTTCCAGTTCTTGGAGAATGCCTCGGAAACCTCTGGAAAACATCCAGACATCAGGCCTTTTCAAGGTCTGCCCATCTTGAACCCATATACCTGGTAGGCTGAACCAGCTCATTCCTAAGAGGTTTTCGGGCACCTCTGTGAAGCTGCTGACTCAAGAGTCCATGCAATCACCACAGAGTTTCAGCAGCTGACTCATCATCCAAAGTGAGTATGCAGCCTCAGCCGCTTTGGGGAAGGGGCTCATGCTTAAGGACTAAGTGAATGTGTCTCATGACTCCTCACCGCATCCATAGATAGAAGACTTTATCTTGCATTCCGTGAATTTTTAGGATTACTACTGTGAAATGCTACTCTGGTGAGCCATCCTGCCCAGATCCAGCTAATGTGGTACAATTCCTCAGTTTCACTGTCAATGAAATGAGCAAGATTCCTCAATGCAAGGCACAGCGGATGGCTATGAGCACTTCAGAATTTCATTCTGATGGATTTTGAATCCCATATTCTTTGGAGACAGCCGTTTCTGTAGAATCAGTGACTTCTTTCCCAGACTCAGATGTACGTTTGAACTGATCTTTAGGTGTGCATTCCGTATCATGCATTTCTCATGCTCTACTGATTTCAGTTTTCAGCAGGAATGCTGCCTTCATATCAACGATAGTGTTTATGTTAGAACATGCCCCTTCAGTGACTCTGGCAGTCTGGAATGTACTGATCCGCTCAATGCCTAGGGTCTTTAACGAGCGTTACATGCTTCCAAGAAGGTGCTAACAGAGAGACTCACCATGCATTTTACAGTGAAGAAGTGAGCAGTGTCATTAAGATACCCTCCAACTTGCAGTTTTTAGACAGAAGGCCAAGTCTATATGTATAAGAACATTGTATGTATTAAATGTGGCAATGATCTCCCAGGCTGCTGGAACCATTTGTTCACTATCAGAAAACCACAACTGATGACATCTGGCAAAATGCTTTCCCTAAAAATCCTACAAATTCACCTGGTCCTGGGTAAAACAGAGACAGTAAAATATCTTACGGCAAATATTAAGGACAATACTGCAGCTCAGGAGAGCTGGACACTAGAGCTGGGTCTTTCCTTTTTCTTCCTTCTGTACAGCATGGAAAGCTAGTCAGCAGGCTCCAGGAAGCAGCCTTTCTGATATTCTCTCTTTTTTTTTTTGAGACAGGCTCACTGTTGCCCAGGCTGAGTGCAGTGGCATGCTCTCAGCTCACTGCAACCTCTGCCTCCTGGGTTCAAGCGATTCTCCTGCCTCAGCCTCCCGAGTAGCTGGGATTACAGGCATGCACCACCATGCCCAGCTAATTTTGTATTTTTAGTAGAGCCAGGGTTTCACCATGTTGGCCAGGCTGGTCTCAAACTCCTGACCTCAAGTGATTCACCCACCTTGGCCTCCCAAAGTGCCGGGATTACAGGAGCAAGCCACCTTGACTCCCAGTCCGGATATTCTCTTAACTCCCTGTAGGCTCCACACTGCCCTCAGGATGGTGATCTAATGCCTTAGCATGGCTGTCAGGCCATCTGTGTTTTACTGACTTTATCTCCTGACACTCCCAGATCATGAGCCCTTGGGGGTGGTGTTGCCTACATTCTCCATAGCCTTCCCCATCCTTCCACCTTTGCACCCGTACTTAAATTCCTCCATGGTTGTAATTAGCTCTCAGCTGCCTTATTTGCTTATTCATCCCTCACTCCACTAGACTACAAGCCCTTCCATAGCAGGAAACACGAACTATTCCTATTTATTTGTATATGCTTGGGACATAGGACCAAGACTTATTAGTTGAACGACTGGATGGATGGATGAATGAATGCTTCGAAGGAGCCATTT